CTTCTTGTGGTCGACTGAACTCAGTTCTTGCTCGTCCTCTTCCATTATACTTGTAGAAGTCATCTGAAATCACACTTGAAGTATTTACATGATGTACTCCTCAGAGGTTGAAAACAAAAGTGGTGCTGAATATGGACATGTACAGGGGACTCCAAGTGATTCCCTATTAACTGTGACCACAGTTAAACTAGATGGAACCAATTATCTGGCATGGTCACAATCAGTGAAGATTTATGTTTGTAGTAGAGGAAAGTGGGGGTTCATTTCCGGGAGTAAGAAGGCTCCCCCAGAAGATGATCCATCCTACGAGAAGTGGATGCAAGAGAATTACACTGTCATTAGGTGGCTTGTGAACTCCATGCAGCCACAAATCAGCCAACACTACCTTTGGATGAATTAGCAAAGGAAATTTGGGACAGTGTTGCAGAAACTTATTCTCAAAAACTCAATGTGGCACGAGCATATAAATTGAGAAGTGATGTATAGAATTTAAGGCAAGGGGAGAAGCATCTAGCTGTATATTTCTCAACCTTGAAGTCTTTATGGCAAGAGATTGACCTAATAGAAGTTGTAACTTGGGACACMACCAATGATGCAGAGACCTACARAAARTTGGTTGAAAGGAACAGGGTTTTTGAGTTCTTAACTGGACTAAACCCAGAATATGATCACAAAACAGAATATTCTTTCCAAGGAGTGTGTTTCATTGTCACAAGCTTATGCATTGGTGAGTAGTGAAGAGAGCAGAAGGGCAGTCCAGGTTCACGGGGCTGATATTAGTGATCACTTTGCCAATATGGGGTTAAACCTAAAGGGAATGCTGGAACTTCTGGTGGCACAGAAAAAAAGGAAGTCATATGTGAGTACTACAAGAGGCCGAAGCACACCAAAGACAAGTGCTGGAAACTACGTCCTAATCTTGTTCCCATTCKGTTTCAGAAAAAACATGATAGTAAGAAATCAAGAAGTGCAAATGTAGTTGCCGGGCCAGATAGTGAAGAGATGTCTACTTCTACACAATTGGCAGCCATGAGAGCAGAATATGAAAAGTTTGGGAAGATGATCAGTCAGCTGGGTGATGTGACTTCTCCTTCCAAYCCTTYARGAAAYTCTGCTTCTTCTGYWTTTGCTCATTCAGGTATAAGGGCTTCTGCCAATCATGCTACCACTTCAG